TTCTGCTGCAGAAAGAGGCAGCAAGTACCAACAAACAATATCCCTCTGCAGACATTACCAAGAACAGATCCTGCTGATCGGATCAGATCATAGGATCCAAAAGCAAAACTACACCCCCCCCCCCCCCAAAAAAAAAGAGATAAGAAAAAAAACCTAGACTTATGTTCTGGACAAACAGTTGATTCCGCAACTTTTTTTGTGACATATATATGTGACATGGAAGGTATCAAGTATGAGTTCCATCCAGGAACCTGGGTGGGACAGCTTGAGGCTGACCATACTCTGTCAGCCCTGACCTGTGGCTCACCTCGACTGATCGGTTGGAGTGGGTGGCTCAACGTCCCATAGCTGGATTTGGAGACTGATGATGAGGAAAAATGTGTAGTTCTGTTTATAATATATAGTGGCATGTAAATATGTGATTACATTCTCATTGGCTTTGAATTATGATGTCACACGTCACGTGATGACGTCATGATGACATCACATCAATTTTCATCTATTATCATCTATAACAACCTTCCACTAGAAGGTTCTCTAACATTTTATGACATCACCGTTAATTTTTTTTGTAAAGAACAACTTAGCCAGAGCATACATCGTTGAAAGCAAGTTCACATCTTTTACCAATTTTAAATTACAAAGCACATCCAGTTTTAACTGGAAGGAAGGGTCACATGATTTTGCACGTGCTATCAAAAATGAAGACCAAGGATTTTTCTATCAATTCCAAAGAAAGTCATGTTCAGATCTCTCACGGTTCATTTTATCTTGATTTTCTTAAACGTGATGTCACTTGACCCATGATGACGTCACCATGAAGTCACTTTATTTTTTCATCTATAACACACCCCGGTCTAGGTACAAACCAACTTTCAACCCAATTGGACCTGTAGTTCTGTACACATAGGCCTTCAAAATATTCACCTATAATGTGATGTCACGTGACACGCGATGACCTCATGATGACATCAATGTTCGACACATATCTGCAGGTGTTGGTCTCTAAGTGTGTGCCAAGTATAAAGGCAATCAGATTGATTTTAGTGCCCAAAGTGCCAGAAACAAACAAATGACTGAAAAAGAAAGAAAAAGAAGAGAAAAAAATTCTTAACAAAAATAAAGGCTGTTTCGTCATGTTTGCCGATACAGCCAATAATGCAATCCTCTCTTGCAAAAGTTTCTATAACTTCCAAAAGCTACATAGTAATTGATTGTTTAGAAACACAAATTAGAAATACTGGTATTCACAGCACGTCAGTTTTGTGTTGGGGGAGGCTAGGCATACTTTGTTTGAAAGAAATAATTTAACCCCTTTTACCACTACATTTTTGATTTCCACAAAGCAACAATTTTCAAATGTAAACAAAAATAAGTCTCAACACTCTTGATCATTACATGTACAATGTATCTGTAAATTAAACTGTACATAAAACCATAGAACTCACAGTTGTTTCCATGTAAAAATCAAAAGAAATGCATTACATTTGTACAGAGATTGTAATGGTATTAAACACACTGTATCATCCATGCTGTTATTTTGTGTGTTTCCTTTGTTATCACAATACTTGCTTTCTATGGGTTCCCCCTGAATTAAGTGCATTTGTAACGCTGATAACAGAATTAAAGAAAGATCTCCAAGAAAGCCTTTCTGTTACATTGTTATTAGTTAAAAGTTTTTTCTTAAAAAATAGTACTTTTTCTGAATCCATTTCTGAAAATTACAGCAAAAGCAAATTATTGTATATTCCCTTTAACACACCCTTGCTACCTGAAATCTTTAAAGCTGAAATATCCCAACATTGATAAAACAATTTATTCCACTCAATTTTCTCACCTAAAAGGAAGGAGGTGGAGGATATTAGAGCTGACATTCGATAAAATATTAAATAGTGTTTGGTGTATAGAATAATATATGGCTCATGGGGGCGGGGCTTGCACAACTACCTCCTCAAGATGGGTACACGTACAGGTGAAGGAAAACTTGCATATTCTGCACAAACCCCGCCTTCCCTGGTGTTGAGTCATTCTTAAATGTTACAGGATAAGTGTGAAATGGGAACCATTGAAATAGAGGAACCATCATATTTTTGTGGTGTAGCTGGGGGGGGGGTACTTTCTGTAAATAGCGCCCTCTTTGGTCAATGCACAGAGGAGTTTAATGAGTTGACAGGGCTACGGGTTATGACGAACTGGTTACTACCAAAGTTCTGAAGTCAATCAACTTTCATATTACGAAAGTGAAGTACTCCTTTGAACTGAAGTCAATCAACTGTCACAATACGAGAGTGAAGCATTCCTTTGGCAGGCCCAGCTGCGCTTACAAGTCCCCTTGTTTAGGAGATCGACTTAATATTTTTAATAGTGAAAGTTTTTTTCCCAACATGCTATCGGTTTTCAAAGCAAGTTTTGTGAGAAAATCAACTTAAAGAGCTCCCAACAACGAAGCTTCTGGTTCCTGGTTTAGAAATCAAACGGGACGTCCCCATCATCGTGTGATTCAAATAACCATCATTCAAGGTCTTGATTATTCAAAAATTCTTATTTTCATGTAGGCCTTATGCAAAATTCTGTTGCCTCATAGACAAAAACGTCAATCTGGTACCGCAGTAAAAAGGTTCACAAATGGTAAATGCGATTACCGGTAACTTCATTTTTTCACACAAGGGTTCTGATGAATATATGTCATTCTTACAAGGTTTAAATAAACAGTTTAAAACTTCAACTTGGTTTTGAGAAAAGTATGGCTCCTTGGCATTATTGCAGTTTTTTTTACTCACCTTGTAGAAGAATTTGGAATTTTCAGCTGAATAAACACTAATCTGATGAACGTGGTGATGCATTTTGTATTAGTCATACATTGTAGTTCGACTCAGTTGCTAGTGCAACTGCAGTCTAACTGTATTCATTGTGATACTTTATGCGCGACAATCATACATCCATTAACCCTCCTGCTGTCTAAAAGTCACAGACAGTCAACAAAAATACACATGCCTTTTACACAGGCCAGGCACTAACAGTCAGATCATATTTAAAAGCAAGCACTGTTACTAGTGAAATTCAGTCAGCAGACAAGTGGTAGGCACAGCTGGCTTATCAATCAGCTACAATCAAAGCATAGCTGTACCAAGTTACATGAACAGTCATAGCCAGTCAATACTCTTGACTGTTGAAAACAGTCACTTGACTGAAAGAACAACTTGGCACAGAATGTATGTTTGCATAGGAGTGTTTAAAAATGTGATACTTTATGGGCTTTAGCAACGATCATACATCCATTAATTAAAGTCTAACTGCAATCAATTAACCCTAACCGCCTAGAATTCTTCAAAATTTTCTTTGCCAAAGTGGAGGAATTTGGAGGATTGAGTTCACATGGCAAAAGTGCGTTACTGATTTTGTAGGTTGCACTTTGTCAAGGTCTTGGGCTGGACCTTGTGTTGTTTTAGCTCACCCGTGCATAAATTTATGTAGGATTGATTATGCTTGAAATCCTCCTTGCTGCTCCAGGATGTCACTGGCCAAGCCTCAAAATATTGACGGCCACTGCCGCAGGATTGTGCCGGATTCAGGCAGTGGTCACCCCTCTGCGGACCATATTTAAGAAATAATGGAGGAATTTGCAGGATTGAGGCTGTATGCTATTTTTCTATGAGGCCAATTGGAAGATTTTGCAGGATTGAGGCTACATCCTAGCCAAAATGCCTAGGGAGTTAGTTAATAGTGCAGGTCTTCATTTTCATTGTTTGGTTTTGGTCTCTGTGTTGGTCTTAAGGATTTCAATGTATTGGTCTTTGAAGTAAAATTCTTTGCCTTGGAAGTACAGGTCTTGGTCTTGGTCGCCGAGTTGGCAGTCTTCAAGACTTGGGGTTAAATAATTACAACTGTTGCGAGATTTGTAGAGTGACTAGAGAGCGGTCCAATATTTTTCTGGGGCCCGAAGTTTTTCTTCAAAGCCTTTTTAGTCACACATTTGGGAAGATGAACAAAAGAAAAGTCTCGATTTACACCATACACAAACATGTATGTCTGTGTGTGTGTTATGTTTTGGTTAGGTTAACTCTTGTCAGCACGATAACTTGAGAAATACTTTACTTAGGAACTTGAAATTTGGGAAAATTGTGAAATGCGAGGAATATCATCGCTCAGTAAAATCTGGACTTTTCCATTTCAGTCAGCTTGGCCTGGTGACACAGAAAAGTCCAGATTTTACCTTTCTGTAATATTCCTCCCATTCCACTCTGAGCCACTCAATATTTGTATAATAACGCCCTCATGAAAGATGTGTGCTTCACAATATGGGATCTGCAGCAAAAACTACTGGACCGAATCGGGAGATCATGGTATCATATTTCTTCTAAGAAGATTCTCCATCCATCGGTACTGGTGGTTTGAGTCTCAAGGTAGTGGGAGTATGCTGTTGGGGGCCACCCTGTATAGTAGACTGTGGACTGGCAATTCTCAAGAGTCAGTTTGTGGTCTGTGGTGGGCGTGTCCAACTAGAATCAGTGAATGGAGGCTGGTGACCTGAGCTGTCAATCAAAAATTGTTGCATAAGGCTACCTCCGTAAAGGGGCCACGTACAGTAGTTCTACAATATTTAATGAAAACAGACTTTATTGATCAGTTTTCCCAATTTGGTTAAATTGTTGACCAACTTATTTCATGAACTTGCACAATACAGAAGTGCAAAGTGAAAGGCCTACCGGTAGCTGTACTTTAAATATTTATCTGAATGCTAACATGTGAATTTATATGTAAATAACGAGGCATCGGTTTTGAGACAACTTTTTGTGATAAAAAACAAAAATCAATTCTTAGAGCACACAAATACAAAACCAAGAAAAGCCACATGTTTGCTAACATGTGAATTTATATGTAAATAACAAGGTATCGGTTTTGATGCAACTTTCTTGATAAAAACTAAAAATCAATTCTAAGAGGAAACAAATACAAAGCCAAGAAAAGCCACATGTTTGAATTTTTTATGAACACCATAATCAGGGTGAAAGTTGCTTTGTCAGTTTTGATTTGGCATTTGGTCATTTTAAGTTAAGCACTCTATGTTCAAGTTAACTTCGTAGAGGGAAAGTGACCGCAAGTATGTCAGTTTCGATGTGATGCGCCAATGAGAGTATTTAAATGGAAAATTTGAACGTCAAGATCATTTTGCATTTTCTCACCAGCCTCATCACAGTACATCACTGTTCCAAAGTCCGAACTCAACAATGCATGGTGTTCACTGCACCTTGAGCCTGTAACGCGTATGCACTCTCTCCATTTCAAGTCAACCGGCAATCAAACTTGACGTCAGTACTCATCTCAGGCCGTCCAGTTCACCAGAGCCATCAGATCTCGATGCAAAATTGGCCGCACGTATTATGGACAGCCCTTGCTGTTGCCTACTCTTAACACATGATCGGGTGACAACTTTGCTTCACATTGGCTGTCTATAAATTGACTTAAAAGGACAAATAGTTCTTGTACAGACTCCAATTCTTTTTCCTATTGAATTGGAAGCAGTGAAATACACAGAACACTGGCTACAAAAGTCTTTGGTGAGAAACTTTCTGAAACTGTACTGTGAAACAACAACTTCTATTTTAGATGTTACTTCATGTACTTGTACAAAGTTTAGTTTTCGGTGTACTTTTTGAGAGGCAAACCCCTTGCTGCTGAACAAACCTGCAGGTATCCGCACCAGTCAAAGTTGTCTTGCTTGATTTTGTCGTCATCTGCGAACCAGTCTTTCGTTCATCTCTTCATTCAGCCAGCAAATTTCTGCTGTGTTTCTCCACCCCACGTTATCTGTAAAAGACACTGAACCATCACATCTACTGTTACAGACACTGCAAAAAGCTATACACCAGCAGGAAGACTCTGTGTCCATCATGTGGTTGTACCATGAAAATGTCACTGTCTATGCCCAAGCTACAACATCCCTTGCTCAACTGGACATTCTGGTCTGTACCTTCTTCACCTGTGTCTTCCAGAACCACAGTGACAACTGCTCCCTGGCCTATTCCATACCCCAGATGGATCATCTACTGATCTGGGATGAAACGGGACCATCTCCCTGGGCACCGATGAACGAATCCTTTGATGTACCAAGCAATGAAAGATACAAACTGTTCAACCACTCGTTGCGAATCTTTGCTTTTAAGAATCCGGTAGAGGCTGACAAGTATGTGTATTCCAACACAGAGACTGTATTGTATGGATTTGTCCTCCCTGTCCTCAAACTATTAGGGATCCTGTCCATTCTGTCTTTTTTCTTTACCCTTTGCAGAGTTGCCTCCATGCGGAATATCACCAATTTCTATCTGACTAATTTGGCAGTTGCAGATTTGATGGTCTTGATTTCAGCGGCCACCCATGAGCAATGTGTGACTTTGACAACACACACTGTATTGGATATATCATATTTGGGGAACTCAGCTCAAGCAGTTCTTACTCTCTTAGTGTACACAGGCAATGTGGGTATTGCTTCGTCTATAGCCTTTGTAACACTGCTGTCTTATGATAGATATTTTGCCATTTGTTACCCTTTCCAACACCGTAATCTCAATCTGAAGCGACGGGCAATACGAGCAGCAGTTTGCATATGGTTTCTGTCTTTTTCCATGAATTTGACCGGTTTCTTTTATCAGTTTCTGGTCTTGAATGTACCACCATTCAAATGTGTTGTTTGGCCAACTGAAGAAAAGTATGAACATCTATCAAGTAATGTGCAGGTGTTTGTGAATAATGATGCAACTTTTCTTACTATGAATCTGGTTGTAAATTATGTGTTTTTCTGTGTATTCATGTTGAGTTTGATCCTCACAGTCACTTTCAATATGCTCCTTATTAAGGGACTGCATGCACCAAATCCAACTGGTGATCAGATCCGAGGTCCGTCAAAACATCTACGAAGAGTTACTCTGATACTTGGCATCAACACAGCCGTGGTATTTGTCTGTTTGCTCCCTCAAGCTATAGTTTCCCTAATTGTAATTTTATCGCAAAGCAGGAAAGAAGTGAATGTAAATGATGATGTGATGGAGTTGAATCTGATGGCTGCTTGTGCCAGAGTCATGAACTCTTCCATTAATTCAGTCATATTCAATGCTGGTAGTGGAAGGTACAGGAAGGCCTTTAAGCAAGCCTTCTGCTGCAGAAAAGGGCAGCAAGTACCAACAAACAATATCCCTCTGCAGACATTACCAAGAACAGATCCTGCTGATCAGATCAGATCATAGGATCCAAAAGCAAAACTCCACCCCCCCCCCCCAAAAAAAAAAGAGATAAGAAAAAAACCTAGACTGATGTTTGTGGACAAACAGTTGTTTCCGCAACTTTTTTTGTGACATATATATGTGACCTGGAAAGTATCAAGTATAAGTTCCATCCAGGAACCTGGGTGTGACAGCTTGAGGCTGACCATACTCTGTCAGACCTGACCTGTGGCTCACCTCGACTGATCGGTTGGAGTGGGTGGCTCAACGTCCCATAGCTGGATTTGGAGACTGATGATGAGGAAAAATGTGTAGTTCTGTTTATAATATATGGTGGCATGTAAATATGTGATTACATTCTCATAGGGCTTTGAATTATGACGTCACACGTCACCTGATGATGTCATGATGACATCACATCAATTTTCATCTATTATCATCTATAACAACCTTCCGCTAGAAGGATCTCTAACTTTTTATGACATCACCATTAATTTTTTTGTTAAGAAAAACTTAGCCAGAGCATACATCGTTGAAAGCAAGTTCACATCTTTTACCAATTTTAAATTACAAAGCACATCCAGTTTTAACTGGAAGGAAGGGTCACATAATTTTGCACGTACTATCAAAAATGAAGACCAAGGATTATTCTATCAATTCCAAAAACAGTCATGTTCAGATCTCTCACGGTTAATTTTATCTTGACTTTCTTAAACGTGATGTCACTTGACCCATGATGATGTCACCATGAAGTCACTTTATTTTTTCATCTATAACACACCCCGGTCTAGGTACAAACCAACTTTCAACCCAATTGGACCTGTAGTTCTGTACACATAGGCCTTCAAAATATTCACCTATAATATGATGTCACGTGACACGCGATGACCTCATGATGACATCAATGTTCGACACATCTCTGCAGGTGTTGGTCTCTAAGTGTGTGCCAAGTATAAAGGCAATCAGATTGATTTTAGTGCCCAAAGTGCCGGAAACAAACAAATGACTGTAAAAGAAAGAAAGAGAAGAGAAAAAAAATTCTTAACGAAAACAAAGGCTGTTTCGTCATGTTTGCCGATACAGCCAATAATGCAATCCTCTCTTCCCAAAGTTTCTATAACTTCCAAAAGCTGCATAGTAATTTATTGTTTAGAAACACAAATTAGAAATACTGGCATTCACAGCACGTCAGTTTTGTGTTTGGGGAGGCTAGGCATACTTTGTTTTAAAGAAATAATTGAACTCCTTTTACCACTACATTTTTGATTTCCACAAAGCCACAATTTTCAAATGTAAACAAAAAATAAGTCTCAACACTCTTGATCATTACATGTACAATGTATCTGTAAATGAAACTGTACATAAAACCATAGAACTCACAGTTGTTTCCATGTAAAAATCAAAAGAAATGTATTACATTTGTACAGAGATTGTAATGGTATTAAACACACTGTATCATCCATGCTGTTATTTTGTGTGTTTCCTTTGTTATCACAATACTTGCTTTCTATGGGTTCCCCCTGAATTAAGTGCATTTGTAACGCTGATAACAGAATTAAAGAAAGATCTCCAAGAAAGCCTTTCTGTTACATTGTTATAAGTTAAAAGTTTTTTCTTAAAAAGTAGTACTTTTTTCTGAATCCATTTCTGAAAATTACAGCAAAAGCAAATTATTGTATATTCCCTTTAACACACCCTTGCTACCTGAAATCTTTAAAGCTGAAATATCCCAACATTGATAAAACAATTTATTCCACTCAATTTTCTGACCGAAAAGGAAGGAGGTGGAGGATATTAGAGCTGACGTTCGATGAAATATCAAGTAGTGTCTGGTGTATTGAATAATATATGGCTCATGGGGGAGGGGCTTGCACAACTACCTCCTCAAGATGGGTACACATACAGGTGAAGGAAAACTTGCATATTCTGCACAAACCCGCCTTCCCTGGTGTTCAGTCATTCTTAAATGTTTCAGGATAAGTGTGAAATGGGAACCATTGAAATAGAGGAACCATCATATTTTTGTGGTGTAGCTGGGAGGGAGGGGGGTACATTCTGTAAATAGCGCCCTCTTTGGTCAATGCACAGAGGAGTTTAATGAGTTGACAGGGCTACGAGTTATGACGAACTGGTTACTACCAACTGAAGTCAATCAACTTTCACATTACGAAAGTGAAGTACTCCTTTCAACTGAAGTCAATCAACTGTCACAATACGAAAGTGAAGCATTCCTTTGCACTTACAAGTTCCCCTTGTTTAGGAGATCGACTTAATATTTTTATTTTTTAATAGTGAAAGAGTTTTCCCAAAATGCTATCGGTTTTCAAAGCAAGTTTTGTGAGAAAATCAACTTTAAGAGCTCCCAACAACGAAGCTTCTAGTTCTTGGTTTAGAAATCGAACGGGACGTCCCCATCATCGTGTGATTCAAATAACCATCATTCCAGGTCTTGATTATTCAAAAATTCTTATTTTCATGTAGGCCTTATGCAAAATTCTGTTGCCTCATAGACAAAACGTAAATCGGGTACCGTAGTAAAAAGGTTCACAAATGGTAAATGCGATTAACTTCATTTTTTTTCACACAGGGTTTCTGATGAATATATATGTCATTCTTACAAGGTTTAAATAAAAAGTTTAAAACTTCAACTTAGTTTTGAGAAAAGTATGGCTCCTTGGCATTATTGCAGGTTTTTTTACTCACCTTGTAGGAGAATTTGGAATCTTCAGCTGGATAAACACTAATCTGATGAACGTGGTGATGCATTTTGTATTAGTCATACATTGTAGTTCGACACAGTTGCTAGTGCAACTGCAGTCTAATTGTATTCATTGTGATACTTTATGCCCAACGATCATACATCCATTAACCCTCCTGCTGTCTAAAAGTCACAGGCAGTCAACAAAAATACACATGCCTTTTACACAGGCTAGGCACTAACAGTCAGATCATATTTCAAGCAAGCACTGTAAGTAGTCAAATTCAGTCAGCAGACAAGTGGTAGGCACAGCTGGCTTATCAATCAGCTACAATCAAAGCATAGCTGTACCGAGTTACATGAACAGTCACAGCCAGTCAATACTGCTTTATGTAGGCTGGGAGCTCTTGACTGTTGAAAACAGTCACTTGACTGAAAGAACAACTCGGCGCAGAATGTATGTTTGCATAGGAGGATTTAAAAATGTGATACTTTATGGGCTTTAGCAACGATCATACATTCATTAATTAAAGTCTAACTGCAAACCCTAACCGCCTAGAATTCTTCAAAATTGTCTTTGCCAAAGTGGAGGAATTTGGAGGACTGAGTTTACATGGCAAAAGTGCGCTTCTGATTTTGTAGGATGCACTTTGTCAAGGTCTTGGGCTGGACCTTGTGTTGTTTTTGCTTAGCAGTGCATAAATATAGGCCTGGATTATGCTTAAAATCCTCTGTTCTGCTCCAGGATGTCATTGGCCAAGCCTCAAAATATTGACGGTCACTGCCACAGGATTTTGCAGGATTCAGGCAGTGGTCACCCCTCTGCGGACCATATTTAAGAAATAATGGAGGAATTTGCAGGATTGAGGCTAAATGCTATTTTTCTACGAGGCCAATTGGAAGATTTTGCAAGATTGAGGCTACATCCTAGCCAAAATGCCTAGGGAGTTAGTTAATAGTGCAAGTCTTCATTTTCATTGTTTGGTTTTGGTCTCTGTGTTGGTCTTAAGGATTCAATGTATTGGTCTTTGAAGTAAAATTCTTTGCCTTGGAAGTACAGGTCTTGGTCTTGGTCGCCGAGTTGGCAGTCTTCAAGACTTGGGGTTAAATAATTAAAACTGTTGCGAGATTTGTTGATTGACTAGAGAGCGGTCCAATATTTTTCTGGGGCCCGAAGTTTTTCTTCAAAGCCTTTTTAGTCACACTTTTGGGAAGAGGAACAGAAGAAAAGTCTCGATTTACACCATACACAAACATGTATGTCTGTGTGTGTTATGTTTTGGTTAGGTTAACTCTTGTCAGCACGATAACTTGAGAAATGCTTTACTTAGGAACTTGAAATTTGGAGGAATTGTGAAGTGGGAGGAATATCATCGCTCGGTAAAATCTGGACTTTTCCATTTCACGAAGCTTGGCCTGGTGACACAGAAAAGTCCAGATATTACCTTGTGATAATATTCCTCCCATTCCACGCTGAGTCACTCAATATTTGTATAAAAATACCCCATGAAAGATGTGTGCTTCACAGTATTCGATCTGCAGCAAAAACTACTGGACCGAATCAGGAGATCATCGTATTATATTTCGTCTAAGAAGATTCTCCATCCATTGGTACAGGTGGTTTGAGTCTCAAGGTAGTGGAAGTATGCCATAGGGGGCCACCCTGTATAGTAGACTGTGGACTGGCAATTCTCAAGAGTCAGTTTGTGGTCTGTGGTGGGCGTGTCTAACTAGAATCAATGAATGGAGGCTGGTGACCTAAGCTGTTAATCAAAAATTGTTGCATAAGGCTACCTCCGCGAAGGGGCCATGTACAGAGTAGTTCTACAATATTTAATGAAAACAGACCTTATTGATCAGTGATCCTAATTTGGTTAAATTGTTGACCAACTTATTTCATGAACTTGCACAATACAGAAGTGCAAAGTGAAAGGCCTACCGGTAGCTGTATTTTAAATATTTATCTGAATGCTAACATGTGAATTTATATGTAAATAACGAGGTATCGGTTTTGAGACAACTTTTTGTGATAAAAAACCAAAATCAATTCTTAGAGCACACAAATACAAAACCAAGAAAAGCCACATGTTTGCTAACACGCAAATTTATATGTAAATAACAAGGTATCGGTTTTGAGGCAACTTTCTTGATAAAAACTAAAAATCAATTCTAAGAGCAAACAAATACAAAGCCAAGAAAAGCCACATGTTTGAATTTTTTATAAACAACATAATCAGGGTGAAAGTTGCTTTGTCAGTTTTGATTTGGCATTTGGTTTTTTAAGTTAAGCACTTTATGTTCAAGTTAACTTCGTAGAGGGAAAGTGACTGCAAGTATGTCAGTTACGATGTGTT